TTTATTTAATAATTAGAGAATTGTTTCTATTGTTTTAGTTGGTAATGCGTTGACATTAAAACCACTTGATTGAGTAGGTAATTAAATATTATTACAACCATTCATTCAASACAATAAAATAAAAAAAATAAAAACATAGTACTATTCGTATGCAAATTTTCAATGTTTATTACTTCCAGTATTTTAGTGTTCAGTTGAAGCTAAAAACGCCGGAAAAACAACAAACTACATTATTGTATTAAAATTATTAATAACGATTTATTTGTTACCTACCAAAGAATAATTTTTAATATACACTCGTAAAAATAAAATATATCTRTGTATTAATATTATAAACACTACAGATGAACGTATTAATGTTTTCCACGGATTTATTGCTGTTTTGTCATTAATATATTTTATTTTATGTTTGAATTCGTAATACAAAATAGATAATAACTTTGATGACAGTATATCATTTGTGTTTTTATCGTCGTGGAAATATCATTTTGATAATTGCATACTCTCAAACAGGCCAACGAGTGGATAGATTACAATAAATTGTAATTTTAATCTATTTACCAATACGTTTTTATATAGTATAAACGTATCCGGGTTGATAGAAAAATATGATAGAAAAACGTCGTAAAAATGACGATTGTCGGGTAGGTCGCTGTCTAATGTAACACTGCACTCCTAAACTGTACTGGTAGTTTCAGGTTATATTTTTGGAAGAAAAACATACCGGTGGCAGAAGCTGTTGCTGTTGGAGCAATTGGTGGAGTGCCTGGTTCTGCGCTAGTATTTGCTGCTGGATTTGGATGTTTTGAGCCATGGCAGATTGCAAGAACGCCTGGTGCAGGTTCGTCTGGTATGCGAGCATGCTGTCACCCGACGATCCGTTGCTGGTGGTGTTGGATGCGTTCGCCGGTACGCCGAGACCTGCGACGGTAAAATCAAATCCCATTTTATCGTTGTTGTTATTATTATTAGAAAACAATGGACGTAAAAACGAAACGTTTAAAAAAAAAACAGCAACAATCGTTGCGAACGCGAAAAAAAAATCACAAAATAATATAATTATGATTATTATTATTATTAATATCGTAACGTACGGGATTCGATAATATGTTATTATTATTATTATTATGCGATTGTGTTATTATTGTTTATCATTAACGCGACGCGTTGACGGTGTTGCGCGCCGATCCGTCGAATGACGCCGACGGTGCGTGGCCAGCAGGAAACGGGGCTGCAGGAGAAATTTATTTAGAGCGCACGCATCGCGGCGTCCGTCGTCTGCATGTGAACTCTCTCAGGCTATTGTTTTCGTCTTGTGCGACCGCGTTAATGACGATGATGATGATAATAATAATAATAATAATAATGGTATCGTTTTGCGTATATTACGCTGTCGTTGTTAACATTTAGAAATAATCGAACGCAAACAATGCGTCAAACTAACCGCCGTTTGAAGTGTTGAACATGTTCTGTGAGTTCATGGGGGGCATGAGTAACGACGGCGGCGAAAGGATGGTGGGCAACACTGGTGGCGAACCGATCAGTGGCGACATGCCGAACGAAGCGTTTCCGGACTGTCCGGAACCATTCTGCGGAAACATAAACGTATATTATAAATATTTAGAAAATAAATAATATATTG